TATCTCAATTTCAATCTCATGCTGTTCGCATTTAAGATTATAAGATCCAATTTCATATCTGCCTTCTATACCATTTTCATCATCATGATCTGACTTGCATAGCGGGCATAAAGATTCATCAGTAATTCCATAATAATCGTCATTTCCATCACTACCTTCTTGACATAAATTAGAATATTGCTTTAATATTTTTTTACGGAAATAAACATGATTATAAGGTGGATTGGCTGAAATATTTATCTTAGTTGAATCATGTGGATTCGTTTCCGATAAAGAATTAATTTCACAGTCAACATCGTTATCATCGCTAACGGAGTAATTTTCATTATCGTCTTTATCATCGTTATTAGCATCGTCCACATCCTCTTCATCAACATTATAATTATTATCATCAGAGGATTCTGAGTTATAATCTGAAGAATCATCGAATATATTTGCCTATATCTCAGTTGATTCCTCTTGAATCATTTCTGGTAATTTCGAATCTTGATTGTTTTCTTGGGATGGTTCAGTCACGTGCGTGTGAAGATTCTTCACGCCAACTACTTTTTGACATTCTGTTTTTTCAAAGAAAAGCTTTATGATGTTTTGGATTTGAACACTCGTTAAACTAGAAATAGCATCAGCACTATACATAACTTGGTTGATTTTATCTATTCCTATTTCTTTGAACAATGTATAAATATTTCTAGCCTTTTGCGTTTTCTTATGCAAATACTCTCTCTTGATGCCAGGAAGAAATGGTTTCATTTCATTATAAATTTATGTTCTTGCCATTTGATCATTAATTTTGTTTTTTAAGCTAATATCTCTGTCCTTTTTTTCGAATTCCTCACTATAATAATACCAACATAAAATTTCTTTCTGTCCAGTTTTATTAGCCTTGTCGAATAAATGAGCCAAATGTGATGCAGAATCCAGAATTAAATCATCTCCATCTAGCATATTTTCAAGAATTTGTTTATCAGATATAGTATTCCAAAGGATTTTCTCATTAATAAATGTAGATAACTCACATATTAAACCTTGTTCAACTTTTTGATTATAGGGAATTTTAATTTCAGAAGAAATGTTACTTTGTGTTTGGCTAATCGGGTTTTCTGAAACGTTCTGATCGATTTTGGATGTAAAATTCTTTTGTATCAGTTCTTGATCTCAGGAAATAGATGCTTCATTATTTCGTAATAGCATTTTATCCCGGTTTCTCGCTCCCATTTCATTTCTAATCTGTTCTTTATGCGCCCATTCCAGAAATTCGATCTCTTTATTTTCAAAAGATACATCAGAATTTGGAGCATTATTGAGTTCATTTTCAGATAATTCTGGAAAAACGTTATTAGTTATATCAGATGCCGGAGCATCCTCAGTTTGTAAGTCCATCTGTTCGGGGGTATCGTTAGAATTTTCCATTTTGGTGGAGATGGTTTTAACCGTAGATTGTTCGATTCCCCTGGTATCATCATCTGATTTAGATGCGGGAGCATCATTACTTCGTAATACATTAGAGTTGCTCTTTTCTTCGTCGTTTTGAGACTGGTTTTGTTCCAATTTCGCAACTCTAGCTTTAAGTTCAGTGTTTTCTTTTACTATCTGAACTATTTTGGTATTGAGATCAAAATCTCTTAATGTCGCGTTTTCAACATTTTCTTTTGTGGATTGTTCTAATTCCACGATTCTGGCTATAAGCGAATCCTTCTCCTTTCTAAGTTCTGGAATTTCGGCATTTTCCTTTCTGAGTCTAGTAATTTCAGCATTCTCTTTTCTAAGTTTATCGATTTCGGCTATAAGCCTGGAATTCAATTCCTTCAATGAATCAATTGTAGATTGTGCGCTTGCTATTGTTTTATTTAAGATATGTATATATTCAATAGTTTGTTTATCCTCTGTCTTTAGCAAGCTCGAAGCCTGAATATGGTTATCTAGTTTATGTATTTCACCTATGTATTTGATTAACTTATTGTCATAAACGCAGTTATTTGGAGGGTTTATGAAGATTATCATATGCAAATTCTGACATCTTTCGAAATATAACTAGCATGCCCGTGATGCCCGTCACGAAAAAAATTCCCTGACACACACTAACATATAAAAATCTTGACATGTAAAAAAATTGCGTTAATACACCTCTGCTTTATTGATTGTAATACTGTAAAATCGAAAAACAAATCTATTGTTCTATACTATTGACTACAGTATAAGTTTTTCATTTATAAAAAATCCATGCCAGAGTTGGGAAACTTCGTTTAGTACACTTAAGAATTAAGTGAATTAAGTGTCAAATCATTACAGCTTATCATAAATGAGTGTACTAATTTTTTATTTTTGATCTATTATTGTAGCGAAGGATAAGTAAAAGGCTACACAAAAGTCACGTTTTTGTCTGTCCGATTTTTAGATAATGATATAAGGAATAAACCAGTAAAATTCGCGAAAATCCCAATCTCACATGATAAAATTTTGCTCAACATTAAATAATTCCAATACGAGTTCTGTTCTATGGGTCTGTCCGCGATGTCAAAAATACATAAATACTTCGATTGCAAATGTAATAAATGGAATATAGTCGGATTTTTAAATGAATGTGATATCGAGCCATTTGATAAAAAAATCGACGAATACCTTAAAAGCCTTGAAAAGATTGATAGGAAGGAAGGAAGGAGGCAAAAAAAAGCACATCAACTCCTTGACAGATATCGAAAGGCGCGTAAAAACTTTTTTAGCATGGGTATAAAATAGTGGCGTGACGATCGTAGGCTTCCTCGGCCTTTCGTCATTCAAGGCTCTTCGCTGAGCCACAAAACCGGTGTTAGAGCGCCAGTGACTTCCTCGGTTACTTGCTGTTCAAAGGTTCCTCGCCAATTCTAACACTGGGCCCATTGGGGTTAGGTGACTTCCTCGGTTACCTGATACTCAAATGGGATGAAATTGAAGCATAAGCAATAATTACTAACTTCCAAATTTTCTATGCTAGAATCCTAGACCAGATTATAAAATCGCAAAATCCTGGGAAAAGGAACGTACACGCAAACAAGTTCACCTACACCAACCAATAAGTGGAACTGTAAATGGGTCAATTAACACAGTTAACGGAATGATGAATGGGGGGAAAGTTGGAACCATCAACGAACAAGAAAATCCTCCACTCAGAAGGACACCGAGAAAAATAAATAGAGTAATTTACGCCGAAAACTCAAATAAAGTGAATAATACCAGCAAGCGAACCTACAAAGAAATATCAGATGAAGATCCTGAAGTACGTAAAATACTGTTAGTCAATATTTTCCGTTTCACCTATATCTAATTTTCAATATCTAGGTTAATGATGATGATGATGATGATGAGATTGACGATGAGATCGATGAAGACGACAACGAAGATGACTGCGAAGATGACGACGAGAATAAAGGCGAAGATGACAACAAAGACAAGAAGGCCAAGGAGAGAAAGAAGTTGGAGAAAAAGTTGATTGATGATTTTATTTCGAGATTTAAGGCGATAAATGCGGACGACAAATGGAAACTTCCTTCGGGCAGATTTGTTGAAGACGTCTTATATGATTGGGCAGTGACCCACTGTTCTGAAACGTAGATATACTGCATTCATTGCATTGATCATACTGGTTACTAAATATATGTGTAATGACTAATCATTTCTTTATCTAAATATTTCATTAAGACTTGCACACTCGTTTATATTAGATACTGATTGTCAGGAAGTTATGGATTTGTTTAGTCCTGAGGAAAAGGAGACAATTTTAAATACTAATAAAAAGTCTTTTCCGGCCGTACAAGATGATATCAAAAAATATGTCATGAAATATTACAAGGTATTCTGTTTGATAAAGATTGACCGAATTGAGACATTTATTTATACATCTTCTAAACCTCCATAGAAGAATGTCGACGATCTTCGAGAAACCGTCATGGAACCATATTTGAAAAATGGGGAGACCTATAATTCAAAATTACATTATGATTTGGAGTGGATTCACTTAGTGTTCAATAAATTGTGGGTTAACTCATCATTTATATAATATTTCAATCCGTGACTGATTTTTTTTCTTTATCAATGTAGTGTTATTGAATGGGAGCAAGGTGTGAATGCGTTAGCAGAGGATAATTTAGAAGCATGGATTGTAAGTCATGTATGGACTTTTATTGTTGATATGGCATTAAAGGACATTGAAGAAACAAAAATTGGAAAGTACGCCATATATTCAAACAGAAATCGTTGCTATATTCTTATAATATTGGTTAAGTACGTTTTCATTTTTACAGATCAGATGGTGGTTCGTTTGCATCAAAAATGCGCAAAAACAAAAAAAGAAAAATTGGAAAATCCATTATTCGTGTAATGAGCCTTTAAAACTGTAATATTATAACATAAGATAATTCGAATTAATTTCTTTTTCAATATTAATAGGGCAGGAAGATCGACATATTACTAAAACTTCGTAATAGCTCAAGAGAAATACTAGCTGGAGAGGTAGCCAGAACAGGAGACATTCACGATAAAAAATATTTAGGAGATAGAATCAAACTATTAAAGCTTATGAAAGATATGTTTGATACGATAATTGAATCACTTCCGCCAACTACAATTGAAAATTACGAGAGTCTTTGTACATTTGGAATACAACTTTTTAGTAAGTGAACGTTATCTATATTATATGATATATTGATCGACTTTGTTATTAATTTTTATAATTACTTAGAAAATAAAGGCACTGTTTACATTATGGATCGCCCTGAAGGAATGATTTCGCGATTAACTAAAAAAGCACAATTAGAAGCCCCTATATACATTGAAGGTATTCGCGAACTAATTTTGTCTATAATTACAATGTTGGAATTGAAGGTAATACTTTATTATTGAGCTATACATTTCTAATACATGTGTATTTATCTGCTTTTGATATCTTACAGAATGCAATTCGAGAGATCATCCAAATAATTGAAAAAATAGAAAGCGACGAATTAGAAGTTCAAGTCTTTCAAAGAAATAATACAGGTGTTCGATTACCACTTGTAGGAACTACACCAACTCCTCGGACCTCGCTTGTAAAAAAATAAAAAGTATTAGTAGTGTAATCAATAAAGTCATGTAATAATTGGGTGTGCCTGCTTGCTGTTATCGCGACAAATGAATAATTGTGCTCTGTCAGATAAAATCACGTGCGCGTGAAGATTCTTCACGCCAATCCCTGATTCGCACGTAATGCGTTTAAATGTTGCTTATTTTTTACTTTACAAGTGAGATCGTCAAAATTAGCACTCATGTGCTAGCATGGCTAAGGGGTTTGTTCAAGAAAAACGGCAGAATAGATTCAGTTTGGAACTTAAGACCGGGCAGAGTTGTTGTAAAAAATTTGGCGCTAGATTCGGTAACATAATTACTAATCGCGTAACTACTCTTTTTTAGATGCGAGTCATTTCATGAAACAGGTATAAATAAGTAGTTTTTGTCTCGTAAAATAGGTAAACAATAATGTTTTCTACTTGTACATTTTTTCGAGAGCAAAAATATGTGCTTTTTACATCAAAAATTTTTACAATAGAAGTTGAGACATGTATTTTCACGCAGAGAAATTCACGAGTTATCGAGCCATGTAAGGCTAAAAAATAAGACTTAATACTCCGTCGTACATGCATACTTTGTACGCATTTAGGCCAAATTAGAGTGTCCAAGGGGCTGCTGCTTTAACTGCAAAATTCTGCTGTGATTACCATTAAATTTGTGAATTCTGCGGTGACGTATAATAATACTTTAAAAATCAAAATTACAACATAAAGAAAATTCTAATCTTACCTAATTCTATCACAATAGGCTAAAATCACCAATAATTTTTTATTCTGCTTGCAGAATTCTGTACAAATTCTGCGCAGATTCTGCCACCGCAGTACCCTGGACACTCTAGGCCAAATAAGGTTTTGGTCCCACAAAGTGAAGTCAGAAATATATGTGGCATGAGCTCATTGACCGATTTGGTTAGATTTCTAGAAAAATGAAAATGGCATAACTATAAGGACGTCAGTAGCTCACCCACAAAAAATTTTCCAGTCATGTGACTTTTTTATGGCACTAGCCAATTATATTTTGAGATCAGGTGTAACGTGAAAATCAAAACAATCAAAACAATCGAATAAAACAAAAGAATTAAAGTAATAAATTGAGAGTTAAGGTTTGGGTTAGACACTTTGTTAAAGTATTGCTATTATTAAAAATTTGCAAGGAATTTTTTTTGTTAATGCGCAGAAGACGATTTCATAGACAAATTTTAGAGTTTTTAGTGATTTTTTATAAAAAAATATAAAAAGCATAATTTTTACGTTACACCTGATCCTGAAATTCAATTGGTTTGTGCCACGATAAAGTCATGTGACTAGAAAATTTTTTGTGGTATAATTACATAGGTTACAGTAAGCCTTGTTATACAGATAAATTTTATATATGGAAATTATATGAAAAATTATGTAAGTATAATGAACGTAACAAATAAATTTTATTTAAACTATCATTACCAAATTGTTAATCTATTTATTTTTAATTATTCGAGAATTTTCACATTCACATCGCTTATATATTTCATCTGCCACCTTTTTGTATGTTTTGCAATATAGGTGTGAATGATGATTGCATTCGTCACAAACCTTACACCTGTGCTTCCACCCTCTAAATATATACCACTTTTCGATATAATTTTGTTTTTCTTTCATCGTTATATATTAACAGAAAAAAATAATCTATATATGGCTAAAATTTTTTATTATACAAACCCGTAAATGTGGCATGAGTTAATTGACTTTGGTTAGGGACTAATTTCAGAAAAATGAAAAAATGGCACTCTGAGATTATGCCCCATCTCACAAATAAGTTATACATAACGATAAGCCCCCTATTTTCTCATAAATTCGAAAATAGAAAAGTACATAATCAGAAAATTTTTTAGATAAGATTTACATATCTCTGAAAAAATTTATTTTTGAGGAGGGAGGTAATACAGATAAATTTTATATGCGGAATTATTACACTAATAAATGTGGACAAATTATGTATAACGATAAGTTTTGCTTAAATTAGGTATCATTATCGCTAATTCAGATTTTAACATTAATTATTCAAAAATTTTCACATTCAAGAGTCTGGATACCATGTCCAGGCTCGTCAAAATTGCACAGAAAAATGAATAAATTACATGGCGCAGTAGACAGCAAATTAGTTATCGAAATCTTATTGGAAGTAGCAAATTATTTTCCAGCAACGTATATTATATTACATTTGGTAGTGATCACTAGAACACACTTTAAAATAAAACCCGATATGGGAAATGCTTTATTAATATATGTTTAAATACAATTTTTTTTGATAGTAGAGCCTAGATACGGTGTCCAAGCTCGTCAAAATTACGCAGAAGAAACGGCATCAAACTTTCTTCTTTAAAATTTCAGCCATTACATAATCCTTTTCATCCTTAGTTAGATTTAAGATGAAACCTGGAGGGGTGGATTTTATCCATGCTATTTTTTCTTTACCTATACTATTAAAAAGCTTATAAATCTTTTCGGATCTCTCCATCCTTTTCCGCAAAGCTTCGTCAGAACATTTTGCCTCAGGAATCGCTTCTCTAACCTCACTCTTGACCAATGCTTGAGATCCATCCTTGCTATATTCGGGTTTTAATTCTTTGTATCGTTTAAATACAGCTTCCCCAAAATTAAAATAGCTGAAAATAAGACCTTGGGATGCACCTTCATTTTTAGTTTCAGCATGATCAATCTTATCGGAGAGTTGCAAAAAAATACTGGTTGCGCTTTTATTTGCTTTTTCCAAGTTTTCTCCAATAGTGAGAACAGGTGTATTAGCTAATAATTCTTCGATAAGTTTTTTTAACATAGACGATTCCTTCTTTCTATCAGTTTTTTTTGCCTTCTTGCTAGACGATTTTTCGGTAGATGTAGATGTGGATAATTCCCTAGTACGTTTTTTCTGAGTAGTCTCATTAATTAAGGGCTCTTTCTGGCCTAATAATGGTGATATATACACTGGTGAATCTAATTCAAGATTATTGCCTAACATATCTGCAATAGCTGAAGTTTCACTAGACTGAGATGATTCGGAAAACCTTCGTTCAAATATTACGGGATCAATAGTTTTTTCGCATTCAGTAATAAGGCATTTGTTTTCTTTTGTAAGTAAAAAATTTTTTTCAATGCATTTTCTATAATATACATGACTGCATGGAAGCAGGGATGGTAAATGACCTGAAATGACACAAATGACCCAAATGACAAATGACCAGTCATTGGGTCATTTCAAATTCAAATGACCCATAGAAGGTCATTTAACATT